ATGGTCTTATTTTCACCATGGCTTTCCAGCCTTGCATGCACCCTTGCAGACAACACACTCATGCTAACACTGGGGGGGAAAAAAACACTGGAAAACAAATATTCTAGCATATATTTTCCTATAAGAGGAAAAACCACACAGAGGGCCAGGAAACCCGCATTGTTTTGAGGCTCTCCAGGGCCAGCAGATGTCCCGAGGGCTGCGGAGAAAAGCGTTTGTGGGAAAGGTCAGTGCCTGCATTACACACCGAGGCTGCTGCCTCCACGCCACGTCCACCTCCCTGGGATGCAGAAGGGAGGTGGATCAGGGGCTCAGGGTAGCAAAGCAGCACTGGGAAACTGCATATGTCTGCAACAACACACTAATACGTCTGAGTGTCTGCATTTAGTAGGAAACAGTGACCCTCTTCTCTTCCTGCTCCATAAGGACTTCTGCAGATGGCTTTTGTGGTCCCAAAGCTGGAGCAATACAATCAGTTTCTGCCTTCACCACTGCTGTCTTGTACAGGTTTACAACTTGTGCAGTTTTGACACTCTTGCTTCTCATAAAATGATAGAAAACAAAAATTTGCCCAACTTTGGTAACTACAAAAAGCTGTTTTGCACAGCAATCTGTTGCTTTCCACATTCTTTTCTTTCCACTTTCTCTCCAGAAAGAAAAGCTGAATGATTTGAAGAAAATTTTCATCCTCCCTTGGATATAAAAAATTAATTCCCCTGGTATGACCTCCCACCCTGAATCTATTTTCCTGCTCTGCAACCCTTGGATTGTCACCAGTAACATGCCAAACACAAAATTCAGTAGGAACCTGGGGGCCTATCAGGATTTAACCTTTGAATCTTGTCCGATTTTCCTTTCAGTGGCAGGTTTCAATGGATTCCTGCAAAAGACCTGAAATAGTTCAGATTTGACTCAAACCTGGAAATGCACTTCCTGGGAAGGAAGTGGTGGGAAGTGGTTCTTCCTTGGTGGGAAGAACCCAACCCCTTTTTACCTATGGATACACAAATCATGGCCACAGTTTGGACTGGAAGAGGAATCCTCCTTCTCCAAAATGACCTAATTTCTGGTTCAATTAAAACAAAACAATCTCGCTCTACTGTCGGCTATGTCTTCAGATGTCTTCAGATCCAAAGCCAGGACATGTCTTCAGCTGCAAGAGGTTCCACAAGACTCAAGAATATGAACCCTGCATCTGAGCATCTGATGTTGCTTATACACCTGCTGAGAGGGGACCACCGTTATGTCCAAAACTGCTGCTGGAGTTTATCAGCATGGCAGAGGGAGCTACCAGGGGCACTCCAGCATGCCCAGCCCAGAACATCTCAGTCTGGCTCTGCTGATGAGTCCTTTAGATGAGTCTAACAGAACAAACCATCTGGAAGGGACTTGCAAGCAGGAGCAATGTGACTCCACGAGACCTATGGCATCAAAAACTTGAAGCTGTATAGCACCTCCCCCAGCAGCACTGAAGCTGTATTATCACACACTTCACTGGCTACTTCTGAGTAAACTACCACCTCCTGATCAACCACCAAGACATTTTAAAAGTCATTCTGCTAATGTACTCCATAACTTTTTTGGCTAGCACAAGGCATCTTTACAACAAAGCGTCCCTACTGTAATGCAAAATACCAGAATGAGCGAACAGCGGAAAAAGAAAAAAAGGGAAAAGTCAAGTCTAAGCCAGCAAGGCTTATGAAGAGACAAAAAAGCAGATGAAAACCTAGGCAGTCTTCCAGTAAAAGATGGCCTCCCTAGGCTTGTGTTCAGCCTCCCTATTTGCCAGCTACCATGGCTGTGGGGAACAGCAGTGGGATCAAAATCACAGACCCATAATGAAGGAAGTCCCAGAAGGAAGGAGGTCCCCACAGTGTACTGAAAAGGTGACCTCTGGACAGATGTGTGCTGAGAGCAAGAAAACATTTTCTCACATCTACAAAGCCCTTCTGAGTCCCTGCCTCACCCTGTCCAAGCCCAGCAGCCAGCAGGGCCTCCCAGGTTTGTAGAATTATGGACAGAGCAGGTGAAGAGGGATAGGTGCTGATGACAGAGCCACTCAGGCCTTCACAACTACCCTTCCCAACCTGGGTATGATGGTCCCAGCCCACGACAAACTTGTGCAACCCCTGGCAGGCAGACACTGATCAGGGCTGATGCCTCCAGAGCACAGGAGAGAAGTGAGCATATGGAAGGACACAGTGTCCTCTAGAGGTGGAAAAATACCTTATAATTTGGTCACAGAGTGAGCACTGGACAGCAGGATTGCTCCACAAGACCAGGAAGGATTGCTCCAGACTGGCAAAGGACAAGGATGGAGGCCCACTGCTGGGCAGGGAGGGAGAGGCAGGCATTGGGTCACACCATCTGGTTCCATTGCAGTGCCCCCAGTACAACAGAGATGGCCAAAATGCACTTACTCGGATCCAAACTGCATCCATAAAATAGCTCCCCAATGCTCCCAGATGTCAACCCACAAATCTGGCAGCTTTGCTGCCCATGACACCTCTTCTACTCCTGGAGGGGGTTTATAGCCATTTAAACTGCCAAACATAACCAGCCTGGTGCTGGGTGGTCACACGGGGAGGTAGCCCCACATGGAGGGATGGCTGCTTTATCTGGGCTCTTAGACCAGGTAAAACAATCTTTGTGGGGATAAGGAGTCAAAAAATACATGCAAGTGCTCTGTGAAGTACTGCTTTGGGCCAGGAGCTGTTTCTAGTGTTTCTAAATAGGAGGAGCCTATGAGTTTGAGTAGTCCTGTGAGGCTTCATACGGTTGTGGAAAACGAGGCTCTTAAGTGCTCTAAACTGGCTTTCAGCTAGAATCCTTATAAAATCAGGAATGTCTTCTACATATCTTTCAAAAATAGCCATGATTTAAAAAAAAGCATTGTTGGGAAGAGAGAAGAAAAATATAGCATTGCTGAAATAGGCTCAACATTCTTGTCAGAGGCACAGTTCCATGAAAATAGGTGCTCATACAGAAGATCCAGACCTTTCCCCCCATATTTCTGCAGTGTAGCTGGTGATAAACACCAGCCACCATAGGAAGGCAGGCAAAAAATCCCTGCACAAGGGAGAGTGTGCTAAAACACAAACTGAGTACCTGGAGCAGCACAGAGGCAAGAGTGTTTCCCTGACCAGTTTCTTGCTGCCCTCTCCTATCCCTGCTGGAGTCAGCCTAAACTCAAAATACTGGGGGGACGCTTCCAATCAGGAGGATAAAATCAGATTTGCAAATGCTGTGTCTTTGTAAGACATTATTGCATCCAAGTAAGTATGAAGGTCTGATGTTTGACAAATCAATAATCAAAAGAGTGAAAGACAAGAAAACACACCTTGCCACACAATTTTCCCTCCTTATCCTTATCATCTCTTAACTGTTGGCTGCTTCTGCTGTTGCCTCAAAATAGTTATCACAGAGAGTGTCCTGTCATTCACTCACCTCAGGAGTCCCAGCAAAGTCTTTCTTGGTCAGCCAGGTCTTGGAGGTCCATCTTTTGAGCACCAAACTCTATTACTGTGAGTATTACTAAACAAAAGAGCATTCAACAACTCCCTTTTGCCCAAGGAGGAGGACAGCTGTTCCTCCCACCACCCTTTTGTCTTGCCTTTAGGCAATACAAAGCTGGGGAAGTCAACCACAATATAAAGAATTATTTGTAAGCTGGTAATGGCTGCAGAGCAACAGATACCAAGGAGCTCTGCTCCATGGAGGGAACGTTCAGCATGCTGATGTCCTGCTTGTTCACCAACCAGACACTGAAAAACCAGATGGGCAAGAGGACTTATAAATGAATATCCAGTCTCTGCTAAACCTCCAAATTCGAGCCTAGGTGAGGGAGGAGAATGAAAACTGAATTCTAGTGGGTTTTTTAACCAGCTCTGACCAGTGGCAAAGCTCAAATACATGTGGCACTGGCTGAACTGATGGGAGGTGTCATCCCATAGCAGAAGGTTGCCCTCCCACTGCACCCCAAGCATCTCCAGGAGGTACAGTGGGTCTGAAACAATAGATCTTTTTGCTCAGGGAGCGTGATCAAAGCAGGCTGTAGGATTAGCTCAACACCCTGGACACCACATATTGCTTGCATTTTTAAGTAGCTAAATGTACCAAGAAGTGAAAAAAAATTTAAAAAAATGTTTCAATCCTGCTCGTACAGGGTTTATAAGCATGAAATTACAAGCAAACAGAAACCAAAGTACCTCAGTGCTAAGTTCACCCGAAGACAAAGGCTAGCTGGTTGGAAGCTGCACTGCTGCGGCGTGCCCAGAAGGTGACAGTGTTTGTTAAAATTTTGTCACTACGGCCCCTGGACAGCAGCGATTGGCACCTGAGCAGGACCCAACAATTCCAGCATTTGAAAAGAGCACTATTAAAGGAAAAAAAATAAAAGGTACTGAGAAATAATTATGTCGGTTTGGTTAGTTTTCTGCTCTCTTTTTGAAGCATCTGTCTCTGAACCAAGCAGAAAATGCTGTGCACTGGAGCAAAACTAATTTTCATCTTGTTTTTCACACGTGCCCAAGACCCCCAAAAATATAAAATTTTCCTTGGAGTAAATTAGGATCTCTGTAGATGGCTTAGTATCTGTCCCTACCATTCTCCATTTCCAGGGACAGATGGCACAAATTCATGGCTTTTTTCTTTTCTTGTCTTTAGATTTCTCCTATTGGTGTCATTATTCATTTAAATTATTTACTATTTAATAACTCAAGAACTTCTGAGCTGGCAAAGAACAGCCACTGAAACTATCTTCCCTGAAGAGCCCCTGTGTTAGACAAGCAAGGACTGTGTGAACACACATGGAAACATCTCTTTTTGGTCCCTAAACTATAATTAGAGCAAGGACATTGCTCATGCAGCCATGTGGCAGTGCTCAGTGCAGTGGCAGCAGCATCCTCGTTGGGATTTTCTGGTTTGAAGGTTTTGCTCTGGCACAAGTCACCACCTGAAACACCAAACAACCAGGAACCAGCCCAAACTCTAGTTCTTACCTCTTCTCAGAGGGTTTACAGACTCCTCAACCTGATGAGGATCCCCCACCAAGGTAGATCACTTTCTTCTCTCCTGGATAGGTCCTCCCTGCAATTTTTAAAGATGCAGAGGTCACAAACCTGTCTCACCCCTCAGAAAAGTATTCTTTCATTGGACAGAATAACTCAAGGAGCAGATTATGATCCAGTAAAGGACAATTGGTGAGTATTAATACTCCAGAATCCCCAAACATGTCCATGTTTTGCACACTAAATGCTGATCTTATGTTCCAACTCTTTCACCTATCTTGGCAATAACTATGGATTTTAATGATTTTGTTCACTATTATTATCATTAGTGGCAGTCAAAACAGTTTCCTTGGAGGTTTTCTACCTCCTTTCTAGTAATGTGGTATGCTTGAAAAAAAAAAAATCCATGAGAAGACTAATGCTAGTACATTTCTGTGTTTTCAGAGTTTCTTATATTTGTCCACATCAATAAATGGAGAGTACAAGCACATTACCGGTGTCATCTCAATACTTTACCTTAATTTTTCATAAGTTCTATATTCCTTTACTCACATTTTTGGGGAGCTTGAAAACAACATAGCCTTTTTTAATTTTTACTAAGGTCATCTTGTCACTAACAACTCTGAGACTGTATTTCAAAACTAGAGAGAAGCATTAGTATGAACTGTCACCGCCTGACCTGATCCCCTGCATAACACAAGTTAAAAAGTTTCCACTTCTAACTCGCTTTAAACTCTGACTGAGCTCTGGTTACTCTTAGCCAGCCAGAAAGAGTCACAAGGGTACTCTTCTATCCCATACAAATATATCCCAAAGTTACCCTGAACAGCTTGATTTGATAGCAACCATTTCTCTCCTGCCACCACCTAATATCTTTTGGGTATAAAAGTCAAGCAAATGCTTCTTTGGATTGTAAGGAACTTAATAATTTCCCTTTATAATAGCAGAAAAAAAGAAATTATATCCTTATCATAGTCTATAAAATAAGGCTGATTATTACATTGTACTCCACTCTAAAGTACAACTTCCCTACTAAAAGCCAAACCTGATAAATAGAACTCCTTCTCCAATGAAAGACACAAGAGACCAACTCTTTTAATCTCAGGAGCCTGAAAAACCTCCTGAATAGCAGTGAAACAGAAACAGCAGCAACCAACCATCCTCTTACAGCATCTATCTTCTCCCAGGTGTTTTGTTTAGGACACACCTACCTCTATTTTGTAACCCATATGATAACTTCCAGCTGGCTTCCCTCTCTAAAGAGATGTGCTTCTCTGCCTTGAGCTTTTCCCTGACTGTACCTATGGAATAGATCTTCTTCCCTCTCCATGAGAAGCATGTCCTCATGGCATCTCTCTGATAGCAAGCAAGTGTTGGATGACTTTCTTAGGAACAAAATGACCTCTTAACTCCCCTCCCACTAAAGCTATTTGAAAAACCCCATGTTTTTCCCCACACTGCTGTGTGCATGTAACAGTTAAGCTGTGAGACTTGTGTGAAAGGCTTTGGGTGGTCTGTCTGTACGTGCTCTGCCTGTCCTTACAAACATGCCGTGCCTCCATTCTGTACTGGCAGACTTCTCTCCTCTGGGGTGCTAGGACTCCATATGTTTCTCTTTTCCTTCCTGAAATGAGTTATTTTCCTTATGATGGGATGGAGAACAAAGTCTGAAAACAGCATCCTGCCCAAAAATGAGGGTGTGGTCACCAGAAACAAGGAAAGAGTTCAAAAGAGTTTTCTCCCATAGGAGCAGCTCTGCCTTGAACTGGCTGTTTAAATACCTTTCAGATCAGGAAGTCATGGCAAGGATAACCATGTACCCATGGCATGTGGGTTAAGGAAGACCTGGGATAGACCACTTGAGGTGAACGTTGGTCAGAGGTCTCTGAGATGCCCCCTTGAACACCACTGTCCCTGCTCTCTTTGAGTTCATCAGTTGGGAGTGACAGATGAACTTACATCCTTCTTCCACCAAAAATTTGCCATTCAAATGAGTCTATGAGCTCATCTTAAGCTCTCTGACCTAGCCAGACACTTCTCCTCTGGTTCTGGAGATCAGTCTCTTGACATTGTTCATGCTTCCATAGAAATAATTATTCATACAAAAGGGTTTAGGCAGGCCCAGGTTCAGGAGCATCTCTGAGCTACCCAAACATGGAGATTGTGGCCCTTCAGAAAAGTATCTTCAGCCTTCTGAAGAAATCAGGGACCCCAGAGTTTCATGGATGATGTGGTAGGAGAAGGACTGTGATATAAGGATGAATATCCTCCAAGGGAGCAGATGTGGCACAAGAGCCTTTGGAAAAGACCCAGCAACCCTGCCTGCTAGTGGGGGATGGGGGAAAAGCCTGCTTACAACAAGATGTTCCTTTTTGCAGAGGAAGGTGATGACAGCTGGGATGAGGGAAGGAGAAAAAAATGCAGGGCAGCACCCTGTGTGGGAAAAGGTCGCTCCCCTGCCTGCCCCAGCCAGCTCGCACTCGGAGCCGCCAAGCGGGTCACTGGCTCCCAGCAGCCCACACTGTGGGAAGGGCTCACAGCCCACACACCACTGTCTATGGGCAACTTCCATCTATCTACATCAGGGCTGGATCCAGGGATGTAAAAGCAGCAGCTCTTTCCTTGGAGGGGTGGGCAGAGGATGCAGAAAGAAGTGGGGAAGGCAATGGCTGCCTCTGCTTCCAGGTCATGGCTGAGCATCAGCAGGAGCCACATCAGTGGGATGCTACTGCAGCTCCTTGGTTCAACTGAGCTACTATAGGGCAAGCATCCCACCTGCTTTGAATGGCTTCCTTCTCTCCTTAATTCCCTCCTCTTCAGGCTTTCCTGCCCATTCCACCTAGTTTCAGGGAAGAAAAGAGAAACATAACAGAGGGACATATTAACGAATCAATGTCGTTGCTGTTTATTAAGTTTTACCTGTTCAGCAACAAATCTATGCTGTACCTGTTGCTTTAATTAGCTGTCTCTCAGTCAGGAAAATCAGGGCTGTGAAGAGCTGATATGGTGCTGAATAATTGTTTGGGAAACAGTGCTTGGGGTTGGATGAGGAATTTTGTCACTGCTGTTAGCAAATACTTCCAAGTCAGCAGAAGGAAGCTGGGCTGGGAGGCCCAGCAGTGGGATCCTGTGCTGGGTGACGTGGGAGAGGCTGCCACCAGCATGCAGGTAAAGTGACTTATCCCTCCCTTCCCATGCTGGCAGTAATGCCCATGAGGAGTGGGGAAACTGGGGAAAGACAGGACAAATTTAGCCCACAGAACATGAAGCGGGGGGCAAAAGTAAGCGAATTACTATCAGGTTGCTCTATTTCTTTGTTTTCCCAGTTCATAAGAAGTAAAACCTTGCCCAAGCATGACTCAGCAGATACGAGAGTCCTCTGTCATCTACTGTCTCTCCCTATACACAGGCAAAGAGCAAACCATACATCTTCCTTCAGTTTAAGGAGACAGGAGAAGAAAGACACATTTATTTCAGAGGGAGATGCCAAGCATAAGGACATCTGTCTTATTTTGTGCAATGAACACGTAACACCAGATGACGTTTGCCTTTCAGCTGGGTGGGTGGCTTTCACCTTTACATGCACCATACACAGCAAAGGCTTTTGCCACACACAGGGAGACACTGACCTTGAGGCAAAACCTTGGAGCAAAGTGCAGGGCAGCAGGAGCAGCCCAATAAGCAGAGCCTTCACTGAGAGGTGTGAGAAAGGAGCAGCTGTGTATCAAGAGGGTAGGTGTTTCATCATGTGAGAGAGCAGCCCACAAGGAAGCCAGGAGTAAATCTGCTGTTGCTGGGTGGGCTTAGTGGCTCCTGGAAACTGAATTGTGTATTCACAGCTTTTGGGAAAACTGGAACCACTTTGAGCTGCTGAGGGTTAACCCATTCGTGCCCCCCTGGTCTTATCCTTGTGCAAACACCCAGTTTTATTTCCAGAGCAATTACAGGACACTAATGTGAAACGCTTCCCAGGGGACAGCCAACCCAGTTTCTCAGCCCCCAAAGCTCAGAGCAATTTAACCAAGCGCAGGAGATTTCAAGTGCATACCTGTCCCAGACCTTTACCCTCTGGGACAGTAACCAGGAGATTATCAACTTATAACTCCTATTTTGCACCTTCTTGTCCTCTGAGTGCTTTTCAGCCAGACACAAAGGATTCCCCACAGGAATGCAGTGAGAAGGAAAATACTGTGGAAAATACAGGAGCCACCCTGAGACACTCACAGGTGGTACCTGTGGGACTGGTGACAAGGGCCTTGAGTCGCCAGCTGCAGCCTGACTGCATGTTTTGGATTTTCCCAAATTTTCCCAAATTTGGGAATTTCCCAAAGATTTTCTTCCTGTGGAAGATGCACCAGGGAAGGAGGTGTGAGATGCTCCCCTGCTGGTGGTTGTTGAAGCTTGTCCCTACAGCAGGACACACTGAGGAGCTCCCTGACCCTCCTGCCTGCTGCAGGAGGCCATGCATGCCGCAAGGATGCCACGGGACACATTTGCCCCACAGAAACGACAGACAGAGGAGCCACTCTGAGCTGTGACCATCTGAGAGTGCAGGACCACTGGGTGCCATGACTGTCCTGTCTGGGGCTCACTGGCTCAGGTGGTGTGACACAGCTCTCCTGCAGATACATCTCCAGCTTCCTGACCTTGTAGGCTAATGCTTTGACACAGCTCATCTCTTGGTGTGCTCCAGGCAATGACTTTACATGTTTTGCAACAAGCAATAAAAGGCAGCACAAGGAAACCTCAAGTCAGGAAAGGTGGCAACCTACCCAGCCTGAAACTCACACTGTCCCCAATTTTGATTATGCATTCAGAACATAATTAATTTTTTTCAAACCATTGTAGCAAGACCCACAGGATGTGTTGGTATTAAGAACCAAGTGCTACTTCAAGTGAAATAAGTAGAGGGAGACAGCATCTCCCCTGGTATCAAAACCTTGGCTCATCCTGCTGGTTACATTGTTCTCCAGAATTCAAGCCAAGAAAAAATCTCACAGTATCCAGAATAAAGATTACATTTAAAATCCACAAGAGCTGGCAGGTTAACCCCAGCCGAGCCTGGAGATGTGTACTTAGCCTGTGTAAATTTTAATTCCACTGTTTGACTGATACCTATGGGATGGTCATTCCTTCCAGCTCACTTATTTCACATGGGATGCTGCCCTCCATTAATATTGCGATTTTCCTTTCAGGAGGTGGAAGATGATTCACAGTACTTAGTATCTGATAAATGTAGGCAGCATTAAGACACACATACTAGTGTGTAACAGATGAATGGCAATAATAGAGAAAAGGTTCATCAGAGGCCGTGTTAGAGCCAAATTCATGTGTGTGCACACATCCCAGGCAATACTGCAGACAGGGATGAATTAACTCTGCAAACAGAGCACCCTTGCCCAAAGACCCCTGTCCCGAGGCACAGGGGAGTGCCAAGACATTTCTGCACTCACCCACTGTCACAGCTGAGTAAGCCAACAGCCTGTGAGTTACACTGTGGCTGCCCTTGCTGAGCAGCCAGCCCCTGCACACTGAGCCTCGTCTTCTTTACTGGAAATAAAGATCATTCTGACCCCACTTTGCAGCTGTGCTGACTCAGGGGTCCGGCAACATTCTCACACATACTGAAACCTCTGCTTCTCAGCTGTGGCCATAAGGCTCCTGGAGCTGTACCTTCGTGCCAAAAACCTGACTAATCTCATACCTTTTGGGGTCTGGTGGCTTTTACAAAGCAGACACGTTGAACAGAGCATCAGGAAGAACTGTGGGAGGCAAATGTCAGCATTTCCCTTGGTCCCATATGTGATTCTCAGCCAGGCAGCTCAGAGTTCCTGCTGGCATGAGTACCTGATCGATAGGTTGGGTGTCAGCTGGTGCCCCAGTTCCAGGTCTAGCAGCCAGGGTTCACTGGCTTTTCACCCTGCTGCTTCACCAGCAAAGCTTTCCTGACCTTTCTCTCAAGTCTCACATCTTTCAATTACAGCAATATATCCCATTCCCAAAAAACACTGGGAAATATATTTGTCTGCTTTACAGAAACAGCTGAGTTTTTTTATACAGCTGAGTCCATGTGTGAAGAAGAGGAATTGAATTATTCACTGCGTGTCTCAGACCTCGATGACTAAATTGGG